ATCACCCAACCACAGGAACCCTAATTGAGTAAATAAGTCTAGGTGACTTAGAGAACCAATTATTCTCCGGTTTAAAGAAAAAAATGTATTATTCAGCATTTGAACTTTCTGTAGGAGTATGGATACACTTGGAAAAAATTTTAACACAATTTTAGAAGTAATTATGAGTGATTTAAATCTTGCTATGTTAAAAAATTCAAAGAAGATATTGTGTATCTTTAAACCTATGATTTGATTTTCTTGGTTCAGGAATGTGAATGATTTTGATTATTTTGAGTCCATATATAAGTGACTAACAGCTATTTTTAATATCTTTTTCTATTGTAAATCCTTAAGCCACTGAGCATGCACTCATCTTTTTTTTTTATTCCTTTCTCTTTTAGAGACATGTTCAAAGAACGATATAGAGATTGAGAATGGGTTTCTTTCTGAATCTGATCATACATACGCTCTAAATAGAAAAACACACTATAGGTGCAAACAGGGATATGTAACAGCAAATGGAGAAACATCAGGAACAATTACCTGCCTCCAAAATGGATGGTCAGCTCAACCCTCATGTATCAGTGAGTATTTCATGATATTCCTGCCATTATACTGGTGATGTATAAGGGTTTAGCTTTATTTTCCTTTGAGGTGGCTGGTATTGTTTCACTTGAAAGATGAATTTTAAACTTCAAGAAGAAATATTTCACTATTTGTTTTTCCTTTTGGACTCATTCCTGCTTTGTAGAATATCAGTTCATTTCCCTTTCAATGCTTTAAAATACCCAAAGTTTTAAATTTAGTGAAGAATTCGTTGACTAGCTGCCTTTTAAAAGATATTCTGCCTTGCATATGAAAGCCTTTGCTCCTAGATATAAAGGCAAAGTTTTAGGTGAAGATACATGCCCATGTTTTAAATCCCAGAATATGTGATAACCTTATAATATGTATTTGACACTATCAGTTAATGTCTGTCTCAGAAGGTCTCCCTCTTAGAAATTCTTCCCAAATATTTTGATATTGGAAAGAAAGAAATGTTCCCAGGTAACATCAAATTTTCATGTTGTACTACCTACAGTCATTGAAAGTTTTCTGAGAGTAATTAGTTCAGCTTGTCTTACTTATCAGAAAGCTAGCCAGTGCTATTTTTCAAGAAATATTCAACATAACTTAAATGATAAGGTGATTTAATACATTTACTGCTTTCTTAGTTTCTATTTTTCATTTATTGTATTTTTACAGAATCTATTTAAAGAAAAAGCAATTAAAATTATTCCCATGTAATATTCATGTATATTAAATTATAATTTACAAGCCTTTTGGGATATGCAATATTCAATATTGCATATGAACTACTAAATAAGGGACATTAGTTCAGAAAGGTTATTACCCTTTTCTAAAACAAAATATATCTGAAATTGTGTATTTATTTGCAGTATGTGATAACTATAAGGAAAAAATGAGCTGAAAAATTATTTTTAAAATAAAGTTTTATAAAACTTAACTGAGGCAGTAAATGCTAATCGGAGTGTAGTTTTTATTTAATAAATGTTTCAGGAAAATGATTTATTGTTGGTCTTCTAAGGGTCTTTTTATATAGTATTTCATTGTTATTATATATTAACCTGTGACTACTTTTGTTCTCACAGGAATTGCTCAGATTGTCCATTGACACATTAAATGATATCTTCTATTTTATTTTGCATTAGAGTCTTGTGATAGGCCTATATTTGAGAATGCTGGAACTAAAAATAATAGCACGTGGTTTAAACTCAATGATGAAATAGACTACGAATGCCATATTGGATATGATAACAAATATAAACATACCAAGGGCTCCATAACATGTACATATGATGGATGGTCTGACATACCTTCATGTTATGGTGAGTATGATTTTCTCTGGGATTTTCTTTTCACAAGGCAAAAATAAATATTTATGTGTTACTTGAAAATATGAACTTCCTAGGATCTTCCTTCTGATTCAGTGTAAACTTGGAGAAAGGGCTGTTTTGAAGGCTAAAGCTGATCATGTTTGTTTTTATTATTGCATTGCGAGCATTTATCCTATGTGTGTATAATGGTTATAAGTATGCATCTATGGAGGTGTGTACACCACATGACTCATGAAAATGTCAGAACTTGTGTGTCAGCTCTCTCTTTTCATCATGTGAGTCCCAGGACTGACCTCCTGTCACCAAGCTTGGAGGCAAGCACCCTCACTGACTGAACCATCTCAGTGGCCTGATATTCTGTTTTTAAAATTATGTCTTTATGAGGTGTTGACAGCACATTCGTGTGACTCCTGCACTATGAGCCTGGAACAAGAGGTTTTAAGTTTGAGACATGTTGGGCTGCATAATGAATCCCTGTTTCCATAAACAAACAAATGGAATACATAAAATTAATTATTCCTTTGTATTACCTGTGTTTATTCAGGCACCTCAACAGGCTGGAGAGTGTTTTCTCCAAGTGACTCCGTTGATCTAAACCTCTTCCAGGGAGCTGGGTTGGTTTTAGCTTCTTCCAGGAAGCTGGTGCCATCTCAAAATCTTCTCTTTTGCATCTAGTCTTGTCTGAAAATCTCCTTTGCAGCTTGCCTTGTCTGAGAATGATTCATCAGCTTGGCTTGTTTACTTGGGAGTGAGGTGCCTACTGAATCTGATCAGTTTCAGGGACTTCCCAAAGCTATTTAGAGTTCTTTACCTTCCTGCTAAAGGAGATTTCCTGCAGAATGGAATATTTTAATTTTGGATAAACTGTTACACAATAAATTCCAGTAGACTTTTGCAGACCTGGTGCCACACCCGATACCAACAACTAAATAAAAACCCTCTTCTTATTAAAATTTATTCATAGTTATGGTGAATATGAAGGACCCCAAACTTTTAATAGCTGAGTCTTGTAAGGCTGAATTTTCCCAGTCAGTCTAAAAAACTTAATATTAAAACAAAGGAATTGTTGGGGACTGTTTCCAGAAACTCTAATGTGTGCCATGCTTGTGTGTCCTATTACCACCCCTAACATGAGGGGTTGTTTTTGCTTTAGACATTGCTTTTAAAGTATATCTTTCATTTTTGTTATTAATTCTATACTAACACATGACTCTTGAAAGTTGGATTTTTCTTTTATGCATAACCCTACTTTTTAAATTGCATTCTTTAATTTTATAAATTAGTAAAAAAAAAAAAGGAAGATTTCAAACAAGAAAAAATGTTTTTATTTTGTTTTGTTTTTTTGTAACTTAACAATGCCAACAATTTTATTTGTTTTGTTTTTTGGAGGCAGGGTTTGTTTGTGTACCTTTGGAGCCTGTCCTGGATCTCGCTCTGTAAACCAGGGTGGCCTTAAACTCACAGAGATCTGCCTGCCTCTGCCCCCAGAGTGCTGGGATTAAAGGCATGCGCCACCACTGCCCAGCTAATGCCAACAATTTTTTAAAAATTAATTGCAATGGAAAATGCTACAAATTCTTAATTTGAGTCAGATTGATTAATAGTTAATAATACGAATTGGAAATACAACAGAATATCTTAGTATATTGTAAATATTCAAACACAACTACTGTTATTGTTTTGTCTATATTTCTTATGCTCTTTTTTAATTTAAAATAAAGTAATTTTATTTTCCTAACTTCAAATACATTAGAAATGACTTTACCTGTTCTAACTTCTGAAGTATACTAAACTGAAATAATTTTTTTTGAAAATGTCATACACATACTGTATTGCATTAATTTCAAATATGAAAGAACAATTGTGTATTGTAAGAAAAGAGTCATTGTACATTTAACATTAGTAATCCTCTGTGCAATTCAGACCCAGTAAAAATAAGTAAATTTCATTTTTCAAGTCTATGACTTATATATTCCATCAATATACATTCCTCAGACTTCCATATGAATTTAGGGGCTATAGCAAATGTAATATTCAACACTTTTCATAAGGAAGATGGTTACTGATGCTTCTCTGTGAATGCACATGAGAGAGATAAAACTACTTCTCAATGATTAAATGTATTCTCTAATTATTTTATTTTTCAAGAAAGAGAATGCAGCATCCCCTTACTATCACCACACTTATTCGTCAATCCCAGGAATGACAAATATAAAGTTGGAG